TCGATGAAAAAGTGTAGTTTCTTTGCACAGGAATACAAAGATAAAATTAATTTATAGGTATAAAGGTGATATTATTTAGTTTGAATCAATCCTCGTAAGATACCACTAATCTAAAAAAATTAAAAATGTTCTTACTAATTGGCACTAAGCCCAAGAGACTCTCCATAATTGTTTGTTCATGCTCAGTACGTGAGTGGGTCTATCGTTCTCGACCGAATTTGACACAATACTCTATTAAAAAACACTTGATTGTTGTTATTTAGAGCAATGTATTTGTTTTTATACTACATTACCAAAAAAAAAAATACTATCTGCTGATGGAAAAAAAAATCTCTTAGATTATTTTAGAAAAATGAAAATCAATCAACTTGATGATGACATTTTGAAATACAATCAGGAAATAGAATATCATAAATGAGTCGATATTAATTCGATTGATTAGTTAATTATATATTGCTAATTCTTTGACGTTTATGACATTAGTTGTTCCAACTAAACAATTAATGCAAAATTCTTCTTAACTTTGAAATAGGATTTTGTAATTTTGGTAAATTGACGTTTATATAAATAGATAGATTAATCATTTTATCAAATATTCATTTCAATTAAATTGCAGTTAATTTTTTATAAAATAATCTAATTCAATCTAAAGTATTTGAATTTTTTAACTGTAATTAATATAGTAGAATTATTGCATATATATGATTTAATATCATTTTGACTCAAGTGTGAGATTTCTCAACAATACAAATTAAATTCAATAATATTCTACAGAGTAATACAAATACTTTTATCAACTGAAAACTTAATTTAAATATTTATAAATAAAAAAAAAACTGGCAGATTTATAAAAAATAAATGATTTGGATTTAGCAGAAAAAAAGAATTGATAAAAATAACAAAACTTATAAAATTGATCTCCATACAACTCTTATGACTGGCTCATGAATAAATATTCCCATAGATGAAAAATCTACATTTGATGAATTGCTTGAAATGAATATTATTATCAGACACGAAAATTTTTAGCCTCACTTAAACTCTTTTTTTCTTAGTATTTATAATTAGTTGGTGGGATTTAACGTCTGATAAATAACCACTATTATCTAGTGAATCAGTAGTATAGAAAATATTATTAATAGCAAACTTTAAGTTGGCATTGACTTCCTCATTTTAGGTAACAATAATTAATTAATTAATTATTGCTTTACTTTAAAGTTTGTAATTAATGATATTTTGTGCTCTCTAAAAATAAATCAGTGCAAAACAGTGAATATTCCATTTTAACTGAAATTTTATCATTATTTGTAAAGCTCAAAAATTCTTCAGAATAAATTGATCAATTTCCCAATGATCCTAGACATTGGACTCAATGACCACTGATACACCCAACTTCTTAAGGACGATGAAAATAAGTAAAACATTTTAAAAGCTGAGAGAATCTACGCCTGTCGATTGACAAACTTTTCTATCTCAATCCCAAATGCTTTTTTCAAGTACACGAATTCATTATCGAAGAATCGATTTAATTAGGTGGTTTTCTGAAAAACTTGACAAACTTGTTCTCCCCTTCAAGATCTTGACTACATTTTTTTTTCTTTCTTTTGAATCTCGAATTAAAAGATAAAAACTTGCTTGAAAAACATTCCCATTGATTTTGATATTTAAGTTGGAGCAAGTTTCCAATAAGCAAAGAGAAAATGTATTTCTTACATTTGGTACCTCTTAGTACCGGGCGCATGAAGGCTAGAAGTAAAGAGAGTAGCGTTACACACCCTTAAAGGCAACAGTAGAATATTTTATCAGCGAAACATCAAAGACATCAAAGTAAAGTACCTATTAAGTGTATTAGTTAAGGAGCTAATTAGTTTTCCTACGTAAAGTGTTCACAACTTGGATGTTTTCCTCAATGTTAACGTCAAAAACATTAGTCATTCACTTATTTTTCCTCTTTAATAGCTACTTCTGGATATTAAATTTATAATTACATGTTTAGAAAATTTATTAGATAAATACTACACTACCTCCACCTATTTTAATAATGATTAATTCATTGAAATTAACGGATTAGCAGACCTTGTCAAAATAATTACTCCAATGAGTTTAGAAAGTGCAACTTTTCTGTTCCTAAATCAATATCTTGGTGATGTCCAAATATTATTAGCTGATAATAACAATTATTTTGATTCAATAAATCATCATCATATATTTTTTTGTAACCTAATTGAAGTTAAGCCAAAAATAGTCATTTAGCCATCATCATTAAATTAGCTAGAGACTAAAAATAATCATTTAAGAGTAAAAACTTTGGAAAGAGTGGCCCACATTAAAACTTTCTGAACAAGTTATGCACATCGAGGATGTGGGTTTTAAGCATTTTATTTAGGTAGTAGTGTTGTGTATGACTGCTTTAACGTAATAATATGTATTTGGAAAATTTAAATTCACTTGAATGCATTAAAATAAAGCAGTTGATATATTATTCAGACAAAAAATGTACAGCACGTGCAGTGTGTCAAAAAATACACATCTTCTTCGTCTTCAATAAAACATTAAGTGTATTTCAAAATAGATTACACTGAGCAAAATGTTGAACCAAAATTGTCATCATATTGCATGATTTTAAACTGGGGACAGGTCAGGAATGGAGTAAAAAGTTTCCCAATTTGAGGGGTAAAAATTATTAGCACATGCTACATCATTAGCATTACATTATCATCCTTCAAGAGTCCTCACATTTAAGGAAAATTTCAATAAACAATTATAAATACGAATGGTCGATCAGTTAATCGACTGATTAGATCGTATGACCAACTCTTAAAATGCGAAATAATTTTTATTTTATTCAATCATAATAGAACTCACTCTAGAGTAATTGGGTAATTTTTGTAACCATCTGTGACATATCCTCAGTTTACTCACAATATGAGGGGAAGCTAAATTTTGACCAACAATTTTTCAGTGTATCCAACTTGATAAACTATAGAGAATAAAAGTGTAGCATAATTAGAAATGCAAAACATGAAATTTTTCGAAAGTGAAAAAAGGTGATTTGAGAAAGAGGGCATGAAATGAGGGTAAAAGACGAATAGAATCGGGAAGAAAAGAGTATATGGTGCTGTGACAAATGAAAGTCGTCGTTGAGAATCTGACACACGCGAATGGGCATGATACGAAGTTTAATTAGGTGCGCCTGCATTGGTATATAGCTATATATTGGTCGTCTCCTCTCACCTCCCCTCTTGTATACAAGCCGATATCCATTGCGGGGTATCGGATAGGGATGGAATGAGTGCCTGAGGAGGTGGATAGGATGAGATATAGGACACAGAGAGGGGAGTTGAGAAGGGTCGTCTTTTTTTCTCTCCTTTTTTCCTTAGACTAGAAAAGTCACAAACCAACGTCGTGGTATTCGAAAAGAGGGGTCTTGTGTCGTTTTATAGGGGATGAGGCAATACTTTTGTACAGCAGCCGGATTGAAATTTAGCGTAGGATCTGAACTAGCGAGATTACCTCTCTTCATGGGGACTTGTTCGATATTGTTGGATAACTTCAACTAACTCTGAGCTCAGCTCTTCATTCTGATACACTATTTTTGTCAGTCGTACTTTTTTCTCTATACGATCAATTTTATATTTATTAACATGCATCTTTGGACCAGTGGATTAATTTTAGTCAATCCCTTTTGCAGATCATTCATGCATTTTCGATTGAAGGTTTTTTTTGCTTCAATGCTTTGTATAATTTTGTGATTAAATTTTTCTCATGAGAATTAATATGGTTGAATTTTTTTTTGAATAATAATAGATATTATAATTTGAATTTTAAGAGAAATTAGAATAATTAATTAGAACTTTTTAATATCGTGTCTGAATGATTTTCATTTATATTTTTTGAAGATAAAACTTTGATGCAAAGTTACTTCTTAAGCAGTTTTTTTCAAAGTTTTACTTTATAATAAAGTGCATGTCGATGGATAAAAATTGTAAATTATATAATATTATTATGCTCTATTAATTGAACCATACATTTAATTTTGTATATTTATATATTTACCCTGACAAAACTATAATTTTAGATTAAGAATAATTTTATTGTTCATTATGATATTTTTAAATAAAATAATATTTATACAATATAACAAAAATGATGACAGAATTGTTTTATTATTTTTTTTATTTAAGAATATTATAATCAACAATAAAATTACTGTTAATAAATGATTAATAAATTGTTAAATATTTGAATATGTATCTTTTAATTTATTTAATTATAGACAGAATACTTTATTAATTAGATATATTTAATATCTATTAGATTGCGTTTAATTTGAATAAACCCTAGATCCAATATAGTTTTTTATCAATTTATTTATTTTATTTAATTTAAGGAGTGATATATTTATGATTCAATAAAGAAATAATGTTATTTATATAAAAGATAAAGTAAAAATTAATTTATATTAAAAGTTATTATTTACTTTTTAATTATTAAAATTTATATTAATTTTGGAATTTAAAATAAACAATGCCAATTTTTATTTTATTTCTTAGTGTTGTTATAATTTTATGCAAATAAAAAAAATATTTGTCCTTTTAGATTATAAAATTATATTCCATTAGCATTTTCGTCACTCAATTTTCATGCAATCACTCAAAAATTCATTTCAAGAAATAAATCATCTCGATCTATTTATTGAATGCATAATTAATTCTCATGAGAAGTAAAAAAAAAGAAAAAAATAATAATTTCAGTTAAAATAAAACAAAACACTTCAAAGTCACAAATTAATTAGTGAAATCTACATTTTTCAAAAAATTCTATTCATCATTTCTAAATATAAACAATCTGTTAGTAAGGTTAGTTGAGGGTCTACCGACTTTTTTCTATTTTGTTAGTTGACAGAAAAAAGAGTAAATCCAAGAAAAAATTCAAATAGATTTTTTTCGTTAGGTATTTTTAGAAATGTTAGGTGTAAATGATTGAGATGTTGATATTACCATATGAGTTGTGAAACTGTTGATGGTGGGTGTCGATTCCTGATCCTGGGTGATGGATATCCAGCATTGCATCCGGGTCTCCTCCGCTCTCAGAGCAGTTACTCAGGGCTAAAACCAAACCGATAGACACACACCTTGCGTTTTCACTAACATACAAATATTTGGCTCGATTCCGTAATTTCATTTCATTACTTCTATCTATCAAATCTAATTTTTAATTTTTTTGCGGAAAGTCATTCTTTTTCTACTATTATAAAAATAATATATATATATATATATATATATATATATATAAAAATACTAATAGCCAAAATGAATTGAAAATAACAAAATAAATGAAAAATGACTTACCGCATCACGAATTATTTTTTTATTTTAATTTCGAATAATAATTGATACTGTTTTCTATTATTGACGAAACGAAATTTTGCGAATTCTCGTATCGCTCTATTTCGTTAAGATTGAACTACGTTATTGGATAAACTTAAAACAAAAAAATTAAATTTCATTCACATAATAATAATAATAATCATAATAATAATAATAATAATAATTGAAAAAATAATTTAATTTTTTTTACACATTATATTATTTAATTTAATGAAAAATAAAATGTTAATTAATGATGAAAGTTAATTATTTAAAATATAATAACAATAAATAAAATGAGAATAATATAAGCCATGTATTGTTTTTTTAACAAAAGGATTTCTGGTAAAATTTAGAAATTAAATGATGAGGATATAAAAGGGATGAGGACAAAAGAGTTGACGGATAATAGTAAGGGATGGAGTAACTACCTCTAATGAATTAAATGAAAGTAAGAGAAACCAACAAAACCCATAGTGTTCAATCACAGCGAAATATATATATATAAATATCAATTAGCATATTTTATCATGCTTTATTGTGAACAGAAATTAATCGCGAAGAATTTAGAAATAATAAATGATATTCTATAGCAAAAATGAGGTGCTTCTGTCTATCCATTTGGTTCTGTTTATTGGGACGAATAATTAGAAAAAAAACTATAAATCAAAAGAGTATTATAATATTTGAGATATAAAATAAATTTAGCAGAATATCTTTGTAGGTCGATGTCCTTATCTTCCGTGTAGATGTTGTTGGTTTCGTTATTTTATCTTCTAGCACGTGTTATTGTGTACATTGGTGGATTTATATATATATTATATTTGGCAGTAGATAAATTTGGGAATCTCACGAAGGTTATTAAGTCGTTGGATTAGAGAGACAAGTTAAACTCTAAATGAAGGATAATCATTAGAGTATGTGTGTGTGGGTGTGTGTGTGTGTATGTCGATGAATCCCAAAAATGCGAATAATCGATTACGTTCAGGACAAATAAGATAAGAATATTTTATGCTAAAAATAAACCACCATCTTTTGTCGCATAAAGTAACAATGCAGAGAGCAATTGTATTGTCAAGTGAAGCTTATCTATAGAAACATACCAAGTATCGTCTTGCATTTATCAGCAAGGCAATGAAGCTGAATTCGAGCTGGCTTAATGTGACGATGTGAGCGTGTGATGATGTAATGAAAATTATTGACAGTCTTAAGAGACTTGGGAAAATTCGTTCAACATCATTCTTTTTATGGTGAAATCTTATAAGTAGGCCTCCAATGTCATTTTAATGTTTAACATTTTTTTTTTTTAATTCGAATTTGTTCAAAGTTATGTTAAAAGATTATTTTATTAGAAATATTTTTTGAAAGTTTTTTATTTAAAAGAATCTATCGATAATTATAAATAAAAATTTTTTGAACAAATTAAAACTAACAAAAAATTATTTTATTTTAAATAAAATATTTATTAACTATCTCTTAATTTAACAAATGAAATAAATTTAAACGTTTTAAATATTTTTAAATAAATTAAACTGTTATAATTGTATAAAAGAAAAGATATAATATTAATTATTAATTTATAAATAAATTTTATATTTAAAAAAAAAATGGTTGTTGAATTATAAATTACCATAGATACCAAATATATTACTGCTTTAGATTTTATATCAATTTTGAATTACGTAACTGCCTTTAAACTTTAGTTATATAAGATTTAATTATAAAAAATTGTATCAAGCTTGAGGATGGTAGAAAATAATCATTAAAACGTTCTCTAAATTAGTGTTATTAATAAATATGACATAAAAATTGCCATTTTTTTTATTATCAACGCAAAATATTTAAACATTTAACATCCAATCCAAGTCGAATTATAAAAAATCTTTTATTTGCTGAGTAAAAATAAAAAATCAATAAGAATAATTTTTTTTAGATTATAAACGTGATTTAAAAATTAATAATTAATGTAAAAAGCCAAAAAGTAAATGTTAAATAATATTTTCTATTAAAATCATGATGGAGTCCTCCCTTACAAGATATTACCATTTTTGTATTCTATTTTATTTTTTAACAAAGGAAACATTTAAATTATTTCAGTGATGTTGATTGTATAATCACCAGGATATATATGAGTCTAGTGTTGTGGTTGAGTTGATTTCTACCAAAAAAAAGTGAAATAAAAATATTTATAAAGATACGTGCTTGAGATGTGGGCAAAATTGAGCTAAAAGCCTGTCCAATTCAAGAGAGGTAACTCTTTCAAGCGATAAATAAAATCAGAGGAATTCATTGAAACTTTGAATTTAATTTAAAATACGATGAGTCAAGTAAATGAGCATTATGTGTATAGAGAGAATCGTTGTGTATGATATTGAAATGAACAGAATAAGTACCCTACCTTGATGACTTTTATCTCTTTTACTTATTCAATATTTTTTTTAAACTTTGATATGGGCAGCTTTTAATTATATTTTTGATTCTTAATTTTACCTAAAAAAAAAAAAAAACTCTACAGGAAACTTTTGTTTTTATGAGTTGACTTGAATAAAAAAAAATGATGTTTGAATAAATCCATTTACTTGATTATCATTGCCAAGTTATTGCTTCTATGAATAATCGTAGAATTTGATTCGAGTAAGTTCGTATACTAATTGTCACGTGAAACTTTGTCGTTAAGAAAATAACTGTTATTGTGATAAATATTCGCTTAATAAAAAATCAATACTTTGTTTACTTGATACACTATTTTTTTTCATAAAAATACATTATACCAAGTAGATAAGTAGAACCAGAAATTTTTTTTTTTTTTTTTATTGATTAAAGTATTAATTACAATCTATTTTGTCCTGATAGTTTTCATTTCTAGTTGGAGTAATAAATAATTTTATCAAAAAAATATTTCAATTATATTTTACTTGGAAAAAGTAACTACTTAACTTCTTTAACAAACAATAATTAATTCAATAAATGATTACACTAAAAAATAAGAATTCTTTCTAATGTTTCGAAAAACATCTAAAACTATTGATATCTCCAATAAGTTGTTTCCAATAAAAGCGAAAAAAGTATCATCATTTGATCCTATTATTTATATAAACTGTTAGTTTTATTTAACTTCAATAGACGAAGAAAAAGAGTATTTTTTAATAATTTACAAATCGTAAGATAATCATTTAAATGAATTATCTGATATGCTATAAGTTTTAGAGAGTGGAATAGTTGTAAGCTGCCCATAATTGATAGAAACATACTTATCCATAATATATATTTTGAAACAAAGTTATGGAGGCTTTGAAGAAGAGCATGATGTTACATCTACACAATCTAACCTTCCATGAAGACAGATGTTATAGCATTCTGGAATAGCACCTAGCTCGACTTGAGTGTTCTCTCTTTGCCTTCTATTCTCTTGGCATCGTCAAGCCTTTTCACCTCACAAGAGAGGGACGGAGGTAAAGCACAACTTTGCTACAAACTCTTAACCGAGACAAAACAGGGTTTGTATTGATTTTTACGCCAGTCCTGTGCACGTAACGTCCATCGCTGACACAGGGTAGCACCAGGTTTAGTCATGGCGTCGAGACCATAGAATGTCACTTTATGTAGATACTTTTCAATTGTCTTTATTACTTTAGTGACTAGGTCTTGGTATTCTGATTAACTGATTTGAAATAAAAAAGGAAAAAAATGCCAGCTAGACTCCAAAAGAGGTGAAGAAGTCTAATGAATAAATGATTCAAGAGTATATACTTGGGGGAATATCAAACAATCGTTGTTTTCAAGCCTTGGGGAAAGTAAGAGTTGTCTAGTCCCTGACTTGCTAACTGGTGCATTCGACCCCTCGAACCGATCAATACTACACTGCACACGCGAGTCAGTGGACAGCTAAGTGTGTGAGTATGAGACACCTGATTATTTGTAAATGAATTCTACAGACATACGATAAGAACAATGGAAATGTCATGATATAAAATAACATCCAAACTATTTAATCGTCAAGTAATTGAATGTTTCAGAGTAATGTAGTTGATGATGATGATGATGATAATTTCCATTTAGCCAGTTCCCTAAGTCTATTTGTGATGAAGATATTGAATAATATCCAATGCGAAGAAAACAATCAGTCTCTAGGGATGATTCTCAATCAAGATCTGAGTTCTCTTTCTTTCAACATTACTTCTGTTATCAAGACCTAAAACAAATGATTCATAATACTTATTTCCTTCTCTCTCTCCCATGTCCTTCAATTCCCTCATGATTTTTCCCGCTCACGAGAACTCGATTGTTTCGTGCCACGAAAGTCTTGGAACGAACATAAAGACTGACACCATTTTCAAGATTATCCTTACATACAACCTGACAAAAAGCAATAAAGAATATAAAAATGTGAAAAATAATGACAAATATGGTGGTAGTTTTAGGAAAATTAAATGATAATTACTGTAGAGATTATTGTAAAACTGATCGAGGTATTTAGAAACGACGATGAAGGGATGTGAGGATATTTTTGAAAGTTAGTGGTGCAGCATGATATGCACAGACAGTTAGAGATAAGGCTTAGACAAGTTTGAGACCGGAAGAGGGGATGACGGGTGGGTAAGCAGCGTGGCGGCAGCATGGCGATAGTGTTGTCTACGGAGAGGTCGCGCTTGCGTTTTGATGAAAATACCACGTGACCACGATCAATACTGCGTGGTTGTTGTATTAGCAGTGATGGTAGGGGATTGCAAACCCTGAAGGATGTTGAATTCGAAAAGTGTTATTCCGCGCGTCTATCTCTGAATGATATGGAAGGGAACGCCTCTCCACGTGGATACCACGTGTGTGCTATTTTCTTTCTTTCTCTTTTGCTCTCATCATACTTGATGTCCATTTTCGCCTCATTCTTATTCCAAAATAGTTGAGGTACACCCCCGATCAATTGTAGAGGTATATTTGAAATTAATTGGCCAAGTATTTCATTTTAATGTTGATCAGCAAGTCTAATTGAGAATTCAGTGCAGAGCACGTGTAAAATAGGAAAAATGACTATAGAGTGCGAACAATGTGGCTATGATTGTTAATTAGATAAAGAAAAAAGGTTGTTTTAACTAAAGGGTTCATGGAAGAAGAAAAGAATGAAGGTGTCTGAATGTTGTTAAATAAGATAAGTTATTTATTAAAACTAACCTGCGATTCGTAAGGCAGACATTCTTTGAAATTCAGGCTCTTGCAACCACTTCCACATTCTTCGAAATGTTTCTCGTCCACTCTTAAGTTTGGACCAAGGTTTTGGATTACGAAGAAGATCGCTGAGGGTACCTTGGCTACGACACAATACCCTTTGGGCGAATATTGCTTGAGGTATGCTATATCGTTTAAGTTCAGCACTGATCCTTTGAGCGAGCTCTTTAGTGTTGATTTCTTCAACTTCACCAGCACCATTTCCCGCCGACGATACAGTCTTCATGACGACCGAAGTGTGCTGTACATGCTGGCTATGTGATATTGTCTGTTGTTGTATTGTTTGTTGTTGCTGTTGTTGTTGCTGCTGTTGCTGTTGTTGTTGTTGTAATTGTGTTTGTAAAGGTGGCGGTGAAGCAGCTGGTACTGACAGCGTCGGGGGAGAATGATGTGAAGGTGCAAAACTCGTCGCTGCAGAAACCGGAGGCGAGGGTGGACTCAATGCTGTTGGACTTTGTTGTAATCTTGGCAGAAAGGCTGGTTCATAATGTGGACTTGCCGATTTATGAGGTGAATTAAGTCCACTTTGACTGTACGCACTCTGAGGTGATAGAGGACTTGGTTGTAGATTAGCTCCTGGAGATGGATAATTGTGTGGTGGTGACATTCCCATTGGTGGTAATTTGTCATAGGTGTATGGTGAACCTCCCATTCCCAGGCTGATATTACCCAAACCGTTATTTTGCATCACAGCAAAACTTCCTGACACACCACCGCTAGCATGTCCACCATAAACAAACTTGTCACTCATCGTTGATATCGGTGGTAATGGTTGAAGTGGCGTCAATGTCGCGTAAGATGATCCTGGTGAAAATCCAGGTGGTGACATTCTTTCTGCGACCGACGTTAAAGTTTGATAAGTCGGTTCTGGTTGCATTGTCCGAAAGTCCGTCGCGTCGATCATACTCGCAACTGACACACTGATGCCGGACGTTGGCGATAGCTTACCCGGACTGAGAAGCTCCGAGTCAGCGTCACGTGAATCAACGTCCACGTCCTGCGGTGGTACGATCACCGACAGGGACTCCCTCGCGCTCGCTCTACCCGGTGGTTCCTGCGATGAAGACAAATCCTCCGCGGCGGCAAGGTCTCGCTCCTCCTTGACGCCGAGCGCGCCAGCCGCGAGCAATTCCAACGGGATGCTCGCGCACCCGATATCGGGACTTTGTGAAGCAGAGGACGACATACCCTCGCCACCAGTTTCACCCCCACTACGTAGTTCTCCACTACCACCACGAGTCGCCTCGTGGTGGTGATGATGTCTGCTCCTACTATGTCCACTGCTGCCACTACTGCCACCACTATCACAGCCACCATCACCGATACCGCCACAGTTGCCATTCGAACCGCCTCTATGACCATGCGTAGAAGCTCCCGTTGGAGAATCGACCGAGTCTAACAATTGCTCATTATGCGATCGGTGATGATCGGTTATGTCCCCTATACCTTCCATTTACGCACATTTAGTTTAGGATATCGAACTTTTTGGCTTTCTTCAATCGTGCTTTACGACTGTCTATTTATATTGCTTCCCGCCGTTATGATAACGTCACAATGTTCCTCGTCACCAGCGCCGTTTTTTTGCAAGCTTCACCACCACTCTGTACCTACTGTTATCATGCGCGCCACCACTAATTCAACCCCCTGGTGTTTGTAACCTCTTCTGCACCACGCGTACTTATTTGTTTTATTTTTATTCTCTCACTAATAAGTATATCTTTGTTTTTCAAGTTTATGCTTTGTGTCACATTCACTAGTTTACACTGTCAACACAATCTGCACACATACCTCGCAATCACTAAACACGTCATAACACTAGTCATAGACGTTAATGTTATGCCGGTATGATGATGATGATGATCCTTTTGTATATCCTCATTCGAAAATACATTTATTATGTTATGTTGGATCTGTGTGAGGATCCAGTAACACAATGACGTCCTACGTGCGCCCATGACACTCGCGAGACGAGTAAGCACTATACACTTTTCATCGTACAGAGTGAATTAAATAACGTAAAAAAGAGAAAGAGAGAGAGAGAGAGAGCAGAAGAAGAAGAAGAAAGAGAGAGGGGTGTCTATATTCTGTATGGTAACCCAAGCAGTTACAACACCCGAGCCAGAGAGTCAGTTCATCGTGCGTCTCTCCCTGGCGTTTTCTCTTTTCTTCTATACCCCTCCTAGTTTTATCCCACCCTGACACTGTGAAACACCTCCTCCCTCAAAACACCCCTACGACTAACGTGCGACGCGTGCGGCTGGTCCAGGTGTTCTTCGTACTATCGTTCTTTCTTTCTTTTTATATTCTCTTTTTTTCTTTTTCTTTCTTTCTCTATATTCGTGCAAAGAAACTACCCCTCGGAAGAATCATGTACGGAGCAGCTTCATTTGCGCACTCCTTTTATCAACTTGATTTGATTTTTCAGTAATATTCTCAAATTTAAAAATCATTCAAAGTTATAATGTTTATAATTTTTACTGGTAATTTCTTTTATTCAAAGACGTACCATAATCATAATGTTTCATCGTCTCCAACCCCTACTTTCAAATTTCACTCCTTTTCTCCTTCTCCCTTATCACTGCCCACCTCCCACTGGCGTCAGTCAGGTTTCTATCGATTTTCCGATACCTCGTGACCACTATAGCTCGATGCGCCGATATTCCCAAAGCGTATAAACACAGATCTTACAGTATTTGTATAATGTCGTTACTTGGGATCATTTTTTTCAAATTCACATTTCATCATCACATTTTCTCTTCTATCTTTCACCTTCAACACTTCACTTTTTTTTTTAAATTTTCAAAATGTCTTATTAAAATAAACACATACTCAATGATTACTCACAACTGTTTATCATTTGAATAAAAAATTGTCATCATAACAAAAATTTATTAAATGTTATTAAAAATATTTGTTCATATGATAAAAGAATGCACGTGGATATAATTGACCGCTACGTTCAATCGAACGTCAATCAAGAATCAATGGACGACCTCAAGTTCACTCATACTGCCATTGTGATAGCACTGTTCTTAAATTCAATTCAACCCTTATCATATTCTTGATATTTCATTTGATGTTCATCCTCTTAACCAACACACAGAAAAGAATAAAAGTAATACAATTCAAAAATAAAAGTCAACAATATTTATCTCAGAAATCACGGCACTGTTTATGCTTGACTAAAAGAACAAAAAACATTGACACATTCGTGGAATAGTCATAAATACAATCGACAAATCAATATCTACTTTGGAAACAGATATATCATGAGAAGTACAACCGAAGCGTCAATAAAGAAATCAATGGCTGCTCCCTGGGCGCAATGTCACTTTGTCAGTTACAGATAATCTTGAATGGTTTGATTGTTATTTTTTTTTTTATCAAACACATTCAATTGAAATATACATATATATTTACGCACCTGATGGAACTTTAGCACGTAAACTTTTCTTCAAGATGTGCCGTAGTCACAATGAAGAGAAGACGAATCCGTATAGCGCGAAAAGGAGTTTAGCCTGCGCCTTGCTCTCTTCTCTGCACGCGCGACATTACACCCCTCTCCCTGTTACCTATTGCTTCACATATATGTATGCGTTGTTCTTCTGTCTTCCTTCCGTTGTCTATGTGCGTAGCGCACTTGAGAAGCGCACGCGCTTCAGTTCGAAGTATTCACTTTTGCCGGGAGTTTTTTTTTCTACTCGCTAATGATTATTATTATTAATCAATAAATATCAATAATCCAATGGAATATCAACAATCATAGTAATATTTTTTTTCAATATTTCAGACTTGAAATAAGAGTTAAAAATATGAAGGAATAAGTACGTCGTTGATGATGGAGTTGCGCAAATCGCAGTATGAAGAGATATGGGAGGGGGCAATAAAGTCCAGGGGAGTAAGGGATGGCGATCTCACTACGGGGATCTGTAACGAACTCGATATGTAGGGGTTGTGAAGAGATGGTGGGATATTCGAGGGGTGGAATGCTCGACTAAGGGCAAACCAGGTACGGATTATTTATTCTTTGGACCCTAGTGTATTTATATTTTATCATTTTTAACGAAAATATCTTTATCTCATTATTTAATCATCATACTTAACTACTGTTCTTAACAGCAAACAACCAAATGACCGTAAATAATGAAGTTTTCGAAACGTCAATTAAATAATTTACCAGCGGAAATATCAGAATATGAAATTCAATGCTCTGTAAGGTAGCATGTGAGGTTTCAGTTCCCCATATGGTGAAGACTATTGCGTGTTACTTAACCCCTCTTTTTTTTTGAGAATTATCAAAAAAAAATTATATTAGAGACAAGTAAGTATTTATATTTATTTTTTCAACAACAAAGTAAGAAGACATTAAGACAAATACAAGGTCATTGGCCTTGATGTTACGATAAATTTTGATTCGTGGTTATAAACTGCAGGGAACCGGCGTTCTCACAGTACGTGGGGTTTCGAGAGTCGGCGATGTAACGTCGATACCTCGCTCTATACTAGATATCGTGGTGTCGTATAGGGTGAGGGTCGAATAAAGGAAAATTCCATGTGGACAAAATAATCGATAGGACGACCGATATGTATATGAATACTTGTGTTGGATACATGTGAGCTGGTATCAATGTAGAAAATAATATACATGTTGGACTCGTGCGCATGTCGATATACCCAGATCGACGCGCGTATATATGAATGTGTATGATCTACGTAAAGACTTGGGAGAGAGTGTAAAGAGACAAAGGCTCTATGTATCGAATATGTAATCAGGTACATAAAAAGAAATTGAAACTGTTATCTCTATATGGTCTTTGATATAACACAGGATATTTAAAGCCCTTTTTTATATCTGCATAATTATTATTTCAGAATTAATCGTGGGAATTGTTTTTAATTATTTGACCGTTAATTTACTGTCTCTAATGATAAAATTGTCAATATTTGTTTTAAAAATATATCAGGTAAATAATTTTAATAATTTCCTGGAATAAATTATTACCATTATTCAATATTAATTTATTATTATTTATTAATCATAAAAATAAATAGATAAATAATAATAAACAATGGAAATAAATATTTTAATGTAAATGCAATTGAATTTAAATTTTTTAAAAGGTAAAAAGTGTTTTGAAAATTTATTTATAAAAAATTTAAAATTAAATATATGAAGATAAGTTTTATATTAATTTTCTTTTTATAGAAAATATTTATGAACAGAAGACCACTTACTTTAGCGACCCTATAAGCTAATGGTAAAGACAACATATCTGAATGATTTTATTAATGTTTTAAGTTGCTGTTGTCATGCAAGCTCTCCTGCTGTATGAGTATACACTCATATAATCATGTATGTATACAAATAATTTCTCATGAAAATAGCTGCTTACACATACGACAAATATTGTAGCTACTATGTACATTATAAAAAACATTGCTTTTTTGTCGTTATTTAAATAATTTTCTATGATCATGAAATAAATAATAAACAAAACAACGTAGACTCTTGAATTATACTTAAATAAAAATACTATTTTTTTTTTAAATAAATATGTATTAATTATTGTATTATTGTTTGTTTGTTGCAGCAATGTCACATGAGGTTACAATCGATTAAAAGCATAAAATTAATTTTAAAAAATGTTTACACATAAAGAACATAAACATATTATGCTATTTAAAGAGAATTATCATCCATGTGTCACAAAATGAAATGACGAAATTATTTCTACAAAAAAAAAGTAGTTCAACATTTGTTGCTTTTTAAGGTCGAGGATTTCTGGCCCAAAAATCTATAAAGATCGGTAGACTTAAATAAGGTTATTGAATAACAGGGGTACCTTGGGTTTTTTAATCTTCATAAAATAGGAAATCGAACATATGATCGAGCACATGGTGAGGGCACACACGAAGAATGAACAGGCAACTGAGTGAGACTGTGGAGGGGCTCCCTGGGGGCTCACCTGCCGCCAGGTGTGAGGGGTAGGACCATCTGCGTGAGGAACTCGTGCCACGAAACCGTTTCCTTTTTTGCGTATTCATATATCCGCCCGTATATATGTACACACATACTTATATGAATATATGTGACACGAGCTCCGATAAATATATGTATATATTTAGGAAACTGGTTAAACTGCCAGACCTCTTTACTTTGATGCTCCAATGTGCTCGGTGTCCTTTAGACCTTTTGCAGGGCACGTGAGATAATTAAGGGTACGTCATGACTGACTACTAGATACTACCGATTTTTCCGGTCTACCTACATTCAATTCTTTGTAATGTAAAGTATACATTTTAAAAATCGTCTGGTCTGATGAAATTCATGAATGTCTATTCATTCAACAGTGGAAAACATTCTGTTAAAGGTAAATACTTTTTTTACAATTTATTAAATTATTGAATTAAATGTTTAATATGGTATTGGTTAAGAAAATACTTACAATTATATTGAATAATATATTTTTATTTTAATTTTTAGTATTTATGTTTAATATCATAATTAAAAAATAAATAAATCTTCGTCTTTGGTTTCACAAATAAACAAACTTGAGGTGAAGATCAATCGAAGAATAACAAATTAATTATCCAATGGATAGAAAAATATTTATCCAGGTGTTATTAGAATAGATTTCAATCATATTCTGCTCCAATTGTGATACTGAGATTTTCAGAGATGATTTTGGTTTGATGATACCATCGATTAGTGTCTAAAATAACTAACAAATACATCAATTTATTGATTAAAAATATTGATTTCTTAGTTAAATAAAACTAAATATCAAAATTCAACAAAATTACTTATTTCTCCTTCATTAACTATGATACTCAATCTGTTACAGACATAATGGCATTCCTTGGGAGGTTCCAAAACCCACAATTTGGATCCCTTGATTTGGGCTTGCCACGATGGATGATTAACGTCATCGATCTTTGAAGAATATGACCAGGTGTTATAAGTAAAAGGGCATCAAATGGATAGCTTACATATATGTCTAGTGAAGAAGTGATTCATCAACAGGAAACTTACATGCATTGGCGCACCGTAACCGGGACTGCCCATGAAAATCCAATCTGTTTTTTCACTCTCTGCTGTGGCTGGCAAGAAATAAGGTCTGTCGTAATGATCACGAAGGATTGCACCAATTTCTTCATCACAATTACTCCTATATTTTTTTAAAACAATATTTTATTATTAATCATCATGTTTATTTTCCCATATTTCAATATTTAATTTCAACGATGACTCCAATTATAGTTAAGATTGTAATAAAAAAGGTATTTGTTCCCTATTCTAATTGACATTCACAAGGGTTGAGGTAAACTCCATGTGTTAAAGTGACGTTATGTAATAACGCAAACATTGAAATCACGGTTTTTGATTGATTTGAAAATAATGGTATTAAAAATAATTAAATAGATCTACATCAATGCTTATTTGCAAAATGAAGTCTGTGTTAATTTTAGATTGTTTAACAGAAAAATGTACTGAGAAACTTACCAACCAACATACCAAGCTTCTGTATCTGCTTTCAACATAGCTCGGTTCTGACTCATGTTGAAAACATCTTGGAGACTTTTGAACCCAGTTTGATAAGGAAAAAATTGACAATCACCATCTCTACCTTGATACAAAGCTTTGAAAAATTGGAAAGAAAATACTTTAGATGCTGTCCAGTTTTTTGTTGCATCTGTAATTACTACTGGCATTCCAGAATATGCATATCTGTTGGGAACATTCGAAATAGTCATCTCATTATGGTTCTCTATTATTTTGATTTATGTCGGATTATTGAACATTGGAATGCTAATCAATCAATAATAGCACTTTCACCTCTCCTCGAATACGTCAGGATCAATATTGGAAATTTTTTCAACCTGTTGAACTCCCAAGCACATTGAACAGTCCTCTGCTGGTCGGAAGATTTTTCGAAAGATATCAGGTGAGTCAATTAAACACTAAAATATATATAAATTATTTTTAATTTAGAAAATTTAATCTAATTACAGGAAATAACAATTACTGATGGAAATTAACATTCTCATGCAAGTTTGTTTATCAAATTTATAATTCAGTGGTTCTTTTTTATTTTATATTTTAACTTATAGTAAAAATAAACTATAAAATCTATACTAAAAATTTATATTTCTCTTGGAATATTTCATGAAAAATTAACATCGCGTGTTCTCGAAAATAACTTTTCTGCATGAACAACACTGTGAAAAATTGGCCTCTAAATATTCTTAGAATTCTGGTGGCATTTAATTTACAATTAATATAACTTTTGTGCTGATTACAAATTTTTAATAACAAAGTCATAAGTTGTTTCTAATGTTGTACTATTTTTTCAATAACTTAATGTTTTGAAATATAAAATAAATAATTAATTACCTTTTGATATTGAAGTGAATCAATATAATTAACAATAAAATAATAAAAAATCCAACCAAAGGCAATAAGAGCCCACACAACTTTTCGATTTATTTGAAATTTAGGCAGTCCACGTAGCTGCAAATATGCGTTCCAAAATTTAAAAGCTTTCGCAGTAGAACCAATATTATCAATTTGCTTTAAAATAGCTTGCAAATCTTTTCTAGCCAATTCAATACGTTTGTCCAAATAGTGGTCCGTCATGGTTGTTACGATAGTTGATAACAGACTGTGAAACTCTTCTTCGAGTGAGCCAGAAGGTTTATTCTGTGCGCAAGAGTGGGTTATCGAAGAAAAAGTGAAACCAAGTGCGAAACAGAAAATAAATGACAAGAAGTTGAAAATGACTTTTTGAACATAATTCAGTTTCTTCATACTCCAATAATTTAATTCTTCAATGTGTCGCTTGAAGATAAAGTTTATCAGTATATTCCCAAAATTTCATGATCCATATAAGATTTAACATCCATTAATTATTTCACTAAAATTTATTCTTGAAAAGATCAATTTAATTTTTGAGAGTATTGAATTAATATTTAATAAATAAATATTTCAATGTCGAAGATTCTTATACAGATAATATAATTCAGTGTAAATTCACTGATTTTTTTTACTGAATTTCACTGACCCTTTTTTGGAATTGGATATCATTTTAATCGTCTAATTCTGAACTTTTAGAATATTTATAGAATTTTTTTGTTAAGTAATTATTATTTATATACAAATCGTCGACGTTGAAATGTTTATTTATAAATTAAAAATATTCACTACAAAATGTAATTTTAAATGAATTAAATTTTCAATATGTACCTGACAATACATATATTTCAGAGCCATAAGATATGAAATAGTTAGTTGAGTAAAAATAAGGGTTTACCAGTGATGTATTAAGAGATTATTTACTGTTAATTAATACTCTCAAATGAATTTACTCAACTGTAATTTTAATGAAAATGAATGATGATGTGAAAATTGTATCGATGACGCAATCCTTATTCCAAATGTTCTTGTTCAGCTCACATTGAAATTGAAGTAAATTAAAGATAAATTTGTTCTGAATGGAACAAATGAAATTGAAAACCTTTTATCTCTACAAATTGTCAATTCGTACTATAATTTGTTTTAATTCATTGCTTTTGAGTAATAATAAAAGTTATTCATTTTAATATTTACTATCTACAATTAATTTATTTGACCAATTTATTTCCAAAATATAATATAAATTAAATTTAAAGTAATGTACTTTTTATTTTAAATAAATACTTAATAATTTTTCATTCTATTTTATTCGAATATTAATTAATACATCATTTTTTTTATACATATTTTTCTGATTATATAACTAATGAAATTCCAATGTAATAAATTACATAAACAATATAATACAAAAAGAATTTTTTTTGTTTCGAAGAATACAAATATGTAAGTTAAGATAAAAACATATTATTTTTCAGTTTGTTTAATTATTGAGTTCTAACCTTAATTTAATTTTTATATAATTTATAAAACTCATTAATACTCTCTAATATGTTAAAATTCATCATTTGAATCAAACAAATAAATTCAAATACAAATGCACTCATGCGCATGCGCATAATGAAGTGATGGCGGTGAAGGAAACGGACAGTCAAATTGTGACTGTCGATAAAACAGAAATTAATGCTCATTTTTTGACACAAGCATTTCGCGACCTGTCATTCTATCGATGATGACGGTTGAAACCCAGATTTGTTACAAATTTTTTGATAAACTTTTATAATTGTTGTTTATTTTCATAGCAAAGATTTTTTTATAACCTATTTGAAAATGAAATGATTGTTTGATTCACTGTTGATAATATTACTACCGAAATCTTTAAAACTCCGATCATCTAACAAAATAAAAACAGTACAGTTTGTTATGCAGCATCTACGTCATTATTTTTTTTTGGACTCGAGAGTCCAAAGTTCATAGTTTGTATATTGGTAAAAGTTAGTTAAAGTCTAGTAAACGTCAAGCTGTTGCATTTGATTGAATACTGAGCTGTTGGAGATAATTTCAATACGACCCTTGTAGTTCCAAAGTCATTCAATATTTGTTACTACTAAGAATCTCTACAAAATGATGTCAAGTGTATCAAGAATAATTACACAAACTCCAAAACATTTTAATAAATTTATTAATCTTAATACAAGGTAATGTATTTTTGTTAATTGCATGACCTTATTTTTACAAACTATTCTATTTTATAAATATATTTTTAACTAACAAAAATAGTAATCAAGAACATTTTTGACCTTGATAGATGTTTGGCAACTCAAGCAGCAGTAAGAGTAGAAACCCAAGATGCGAAGGATAAAAAAGAGACACAATCCTTTACAATGAATATGTTTCGAGGTCAAGTACAAGTAAATCAAGTATTTCCATTTCCAAAACCGTTAACCCAAGATCAAATGACTGTTCTACAAGCATCTATAGATCCAATAGAAAAATTCTTAACTGTAAGATATTTATAATCAATATAATCACTGTAGGATTGAAGTAAAGTAAGTTTGATAAAATTGATTTTAAATATATTATTTATTATTAATGAAGGAAGTCAATAATCCTATGAAAAATGATGAAACTTCTGAAGTTGATGAAAAAACAATGAAAGGATTGTGGGATCTTGGAGTATTTTCTTTACAAGTACCCGAACAATACGGTGGATTTGGATTGAATAATACTCAATATGCAAGACTGGTAGAGATTCTTGGTAGCCATGACCTAGGAGTTGGAATATTGTTAGGAGCTCACCAAAGTATTGGTTTTAAGGTAAAGAATAATTAAATAATTCTTGAATTCGTTTCAAAATGAATACATTGTCATTAAATTTTTAATTTAATACGAAGTTTATTCTAATCACTTACCTAATTATTTTTATTACTGTTAATAAACACAGCACAACAATTGTCATTAGTTATGAGTCATAATGAAAACAAAATATTCCAATTACAAGAAGAGATTTTGTTCCTAAAAATTTATTTTTTATTTGAAACTGATTTTTCTATTTTATTTCTAATTGTCAATTAAGAGGTTGAATTTAACGTTCATTGTGATTTGATAATTATGTTATAAATATTAATTTGGTATTTTAAACAAATCATTCATATTCCATTCTTTTGGTATTTATATCCGATAAAATTGAATCATCAACTTCTGTTTTCTATTTTGATCATGAATTAACATATAAACTCAATGAAACTCTTGACGGATAATAAATTAATTGCAAATTGTATGATAATAAAATCGATCTTATTATTAAAATTTATTCTTTTATATTGGTTAAAAAGCCTATACATCATTCTCATGGCTTTTAAAAAATTTATATTGTATCATATTTCACAAAGCATCCAACTATATCTAATAACAATTTTTCACAAATTATGTTTTCAATTCTTAAAAGAAATTTTTGTTTGTTTATATTTCGTTACTTTATACATTTATTTGAATTCCTAGGTCTAGCTTTGGATATGTAATTGTTAAAAAAGGTATAAAAATTTGAGAGTAAAGATTGTTTATTTATGCTGAATCATGTTAACCAAGTAGGGTAGTAATTTATTTATTACTCACTTGACATAATAAAAATTAAAATGAAGCAAGAAAATGTTTTCTCAAATAGCTTGTGAATTCTAAAATTCTAATTAATACAATATCACTTAACTTAAAAGGTTTTGTTTACTTAATAAAAACATGTTAGACTATCATTTTAATTATATTATACACATGGGAAAACAAAATAGATTTTATGGAGAAAAGACTCTAGTACTTAAAATCAATCAATTTTACTGCTAGGGCAGAATAATTAAATTACATTATTTTTATTTCTAGGGTATTTTACTTTACGGTACTCCAGAGCAAAAAGAAAAATATTTACCTCGTGTTTCTAATGGAGAATACGCAGCATTCGCTTTAACTGAACCCAGTTGTGGATCAGATGCAGGAGCAGTAAAATGTCGAGCAATAAAATCAGCAGATGGATCTCATTATGTCTTGAATGGCAGCAAAATTTGGATTTCAAATGGTGGAATTGCTGAAATTATGACAGTTTTCGCCAAAGTGCCAATGAAAGATCCAAAAACAGGTGAAGTTAAAGAAAAAGTAACTTGTTTTATTGTCGAAAGAGGATTTGGTGGTGTCACTAATGGACCTCCTGAGCAAAAAATGGGTATTAAATGCAGCAATACAGCAGAAGTTTTCTTTGAAGATGTTAAAATTCCAGCTGAAAATGTTCTTGGTGGTGAAGGAGAAGGATTTAAAGTTGCTATGAATATTTTAAATAATGGTAGATTCGGAATGGCTGCGGCAATGTCTGGCACAATGCAGGCATGTTTGAAAAAAGCTGTAGAACATGCGAATCAACGTCAGCAGTTTGGAAAATTAATCAAAGAATACGGTGCAATCCAGGAGAAATTGGCACGCATGGCTTTGCTGCAGTATGTTACACAATCTTTAACCTACATGGTATCGGGAAATATGGATTTGGGTAGTCAAGACTATCACCTAGAAGCTGCTATATCTAAAGTTTGTAGTTAATAATTACGAATAAAATCAAAATTACTTTTAGATTAAATTTTTTATCGAATTAAATGTGTTATTTTAAACTATTTTAATTTAAATTTTTTATTCAGGTTTTTGGATCAGAAGCAGCATGGTGGACTTGTGACGAAGCAATTCAAACTCTTGGAGGAATGGGTTTCATGAAACATGCTGGATTAGAAAAAGTCTTAAGAGATTTAAGAATCTTTCGAATTTTTGAAGGAACCAATGACATTCTTCGGTTATTCATTGCTTTGACTGGAATACAATATGCTGGAAGTCATTTGAAAGAACTACAGAAAGCTTTCAAAAATCCTACTGCTAACTTGGGATTAATTTTTGGTGAAGCTGCTAAACGAGCTACCAAAGCAGTTGGCTTGGGACCGACTCCTACTTTTTCACATATGGTTCATCCAAGTTTACGGGAAAGTGCTGAATTGACTGGAAAAGTAAGCTCTTTTATATCTCAAAAGATTGTAATTAACTTTAATTGAAGTTGAAGTTAAAAAAGTAATCGATAAATTGTTTTAAAGCTCAAATGTAAGATCTTTGTACTTTGACTTCTTTTAATGTAACGTTTATTGATTGTTTTTTAGAGTATTGAAGCCTTTGGACAAACCATTGAAGGAATTTTAATAAAGTACGGCAAAGGAATTGTCGATGAGCAATTTATTTTAAACAGATTAGCACAAGCAGCAATTGATACGTATACATCAGTGGTGGTTTTAAGCAGAGCAACTAAATCAGCTAGTGAAAAGGTTCCTAGTGCAGATCATGAATTATTGATGGCTAAAACATGGTGTACAGAGGTAAACTCTATTCAATTTTTGTTTATAAAATTTAAATAATTCATAATAATAAAATAATGAATAATTCAATAAATATTTTTTAGGCTGCAAGTAGAACAGCATATAATTTGAAAGTGGTAAAAACAGATAAATATCTAAATACTTTCAATAATTTAAAACAAATTTCATATAATGTTTGTGATGCTGGCGGTAGAGTACAAAATTCTCCACTTGGATTTTAATTAGATAACGTTGCTTTAAGGAATTAAGAGTAAAACAATGTGTATACGAGAATAGTTTAATGGTGCCTTCGAAAATATTTATTTTTGATATATTTAATGAAGACAAACGAATTAGAGAAAATCTTTTATGAACTAAGTTCACTGAAGTTTGAAAATGGAATATTTTAAAATAATTATAAAGAAAAAGAAACCACAGAAGAAATTATTTTATTAATTTCATTTAAATAATTCATTTGATTGACGCAATAAATGAATTTGAAAAATAGTAGTTTTACCTGTGGCATTTTTCTAATGAATATTCAACGGAAAATTACAAAAAAAAATTACTTAGCAAATGAAATGTTTCATATATGTAGTAGATATGTCAAAGCAATGAAAGTGGAAGTGAAAAAACCTAAACTATGTATTCTTAAAAAAGCTCTTCCAAATTTAAAGAACTTCTATTAAGAATTTTCTGAAAAGTTATTTGGGTTACGAGACAGTCGTCTAGTCTTGAGCAGACACAGAATAACAACAACAGATTAAGGTAATAAATGAGTCTTAATGTCAACAAAGATAAGCAGCTACTCTTTTTCAACTTTAATAAACGTACACATAAATCTTGCAAACAAAACGATAAAAAGTTTTATTAAAATGTTTTCTCATATTATTTAAATGTCTGTACGTGCAACAAAAATTGTATTTTCTTTTTTTTTAAAACAAAATATGTATCATAGAATTGAAACATAGTAAATTATTATAATTATTCAGTTATTTGTAGCTGCTACTATTCATGTGTAAACATTGAAATCATGAATTTCCTATTAAACTTATTCAAACAAATATGAAATATTAAAACATAGATCCTTATGTAATTATTGACGTACGAATTTAATCATAGTTGTTGATTAATTAATTGTTGTTCTTATACGAGTACCCATGGAGTTCATAAAAGAAGTTATTAAAAGTTTCTCTTACTCTATAACTGAGATAAAAATCAATGCAATTTTTGTAAATAAAAAATTTTTTATCTATTAATAATTATACCTATTATTGTAGATATTATATAAATAAATAAATTCAATTGTAATTATTTGAATTAAATAGTTTTTATTCTTTCACATAATAAAATCATATTCAAAAAACGAAACTATACAATAATATTAATAAGAGATGTAATTATTCTAATAAACATTCTCCTATCCGATGATCTCAATAAATATAATGCTATGAATTATAACTAACTCACTGTAAATAAGTCATTCTCAATTTAATTAACTTGTAAATAATAATTTTTTTTCCATTTTAACTTAATTTATTCAAATATATTGTTGCTGTCTTTCTCTGAATATTTATCCCCCTTAAGAATTTATATTAACTTTCACGATTTTAAATTTCCTAATCTTAAGGAATATCAATTATGACGTTAATTGTCTAATTTTTATATTGACATGGAAGCACATGAAATTTCTAAATTTGACAAAAACAAAAATTTATGATTTGACAGAAAAAATTTTGAAAATCAAATAAATAAAAATGTGTTAATATTTAATTGTTTTCATGTTATGAAGCATTTATGCCGTCTGTTGATTTTTACGAAAATAAGTGATATAATTAATGGTATCGTCAGACAGCAAGATGTAAAAGTTCTTTGGCATTAATAAAAATATACATGTGCATATTCGTTGAAACAGATTTTGGCTGGATAATTTTTTGAGCGATTGCGCTGTTTTGTTAATCATAATTTTCTAAACAATAGAATACATAACTATAATAACTTGAATTATTTTTTTTTTTTACACTGATTACAATTAAGTTGCGCATATTATAAATCAATATGTGAAAATATAATTTTTAACTACATTAAGATAGTGACATGTAATGAGTACATGAATTTTGAGATACTGTGATTATACTTTATGTTAATTTCTTTGAGAAAAATATATTTTTTTACTTGTTACTCCAGGTATTTTATTATATTTTTAACAAGAAAAATACACATCTTTATTTTACGTTTTTTTTTAAATTGTATATTTTTTAGCTTCTTGAATCTAAAGTACTTTTTAAATAATTTATTTAATTAATTTTTGTTTTATACAGTGATTTTAATATTAGTTATTTTAATAACAGACTAGGATAAAAAGCAATTTGTCAACGTTTAAACATTCGAAACATGTATATTACGACATTATGATAGCTTTAAGCATAATCATATACGTAGAAGTATGGTGAGTTTAAGTGACAAAAAACATTTAATTACACTTTATGTTTATTTGAATTTCATTTGCATCAAAATTAATTCAAAACCCTGATTATCCTTAAGAATGTCTATGCAAAACTGTTTTATGATTTTATTGACTTTGATTCTTTTTACGATTTATTCAAAAGAAAAATTATATTTACCGTTTAAAAATGTAATAATAATTATCATGAAAAATAATTTCTTGAGATTCATTATTCGCGATTAAGTATTTTTTTTTATTGAATAATCAGTTATTAAAAAATGTGATTATTATTTAAAAAGCCTAGTTCAATAAAAATATCAATAAAATTTTAAGATTTTTAATGTGTTAATAACATTTTTTTTCCTTTAATAATTAAATAGTTAACATTACTTAATATAATAACACAACCTTTCTAATTATCAATTTTTTTTTAATATTAATTTTTTTATAATCTTTATTAAGTGCAAAGATTTTTAATCTTTTTTTTTCTACATGAAAAATAGTTATCGAATTTAAAAAACGTAAGAATTACCTTTGTTGTAGCTATTATATAAATTATGGTCTATTGTATAAATGGCAGTTTAATTATAAATTAGATAAAAATAAGTTTAAATTGAGAATTTTTTTTATATTAACCATTGTTGTTTTCAAGTAAAACTATTATTAGTAATAGTAGATTTTTTAAGCTAAAAATAATAATAATTATAAAATTTTATAAATTGTAATATTATATGAATTCTTCAAATATCTATTCATCACAGAAAAAAATGGAGAGGTATAAGAAGTATAAAGAATCATTTAACTTTATATAGAAACTAAGTAATTTCTTGTTACTTCACGTGCTAAAATTGTTGTAGCAATGGGGTTTCATTTGGTTGATTATCCAATCAAAATATTTCATATATTATATTTTTAACTATGAGCTCAATATCAGTCTAAATAATTGAATTTCCACGAGGACAGAACCCACTGTTATCACAATTCGAGCGCAAAACGAAAGAATACTTTTACCAACCTGCTTTTAGCCAATTATCATCACTTTATCGACATTTATCATTACCTGGAGTAACCATGGATACTTTTCAGACATTTGTAATTCTTTAGCCTTGCGCTATTGATAAATTTTTAAACATCGTTCCATTCCAAGCAATAGCAATACAATAATGTTGTAGTAATTGTATTAATAATTCCCTTTCATCCAGCATTTCAATTCGTTCAATCCTCATCCTTTCAGATTCCGGCAATGAATCGTACACTTCAACCATTGTCCAAGCGTTTGAGCCTTCCCAGCCATTTGATGTGAAACTGAAAAAAAAAAACATAATTATAACAATCTGTGAATTTAAGTAGAGTTTTTTTCATAATTCTTTTCTTTTATATTAATTCTACTGCATTCAACTGATTTTTAAGTAATAAATCCTCATTAATTTTTTTTAATTGTGCTAATTTGAACAAATTGTAAGATGTGATTATGAACAATGGTATTATATCGAATTCAATAATGTTAAAAAAAAAATTACCAGAAAAATAATTAAATTTTTTTTTTTTAACTTAACAAATAGAATTGATTATTTAACTTCCAACATTCTGATGATTTTATCTGTTGAATGTTTAAAATAATTTGTACCATAAGGTCATTAATTACAGCTAAAGTAATTTTTCATTACTCAAGACAGTGTTTATATTTTAACCTTGGGTTTTACTCAATGATCAAAACTCCTTCAACTGTTCAATTCTTCTGACTAATATGTTTCTTCATTCACGATTTTAACACGGACTTTCCACTATGCTGTAAAATAGTGAATTTCATTTTCAGAGAGTAGTTTTAATAAATTAAATTACAATATGTTATCAAAATTGAGTTAAAAGGTAACTGAAATTCACGTCTATATATAGATTAAAATTACATCATGTCATCCATGTCACTTAAGAATATTATTACTCACTCAGATCAACACTTATGACTTCAAGATTGCCATTACAAAATCAGCTTGAATTTCCCGTTAATTTAATTGAAATCTTACAACTTTATACAAGTCAACTTCCAAGTAATTTCATTTAGATCAATCATTATTTTAATATAATCATAAATGTTAACTTTTATGTGATTCTAAAAATATTTCAGAAAAATTATATAATATCTAAAATTGATAAGTTCAAGTTTATTCCTAAATGCCAATTGTGCTCGGAAAAGAACATTTCCCTAAAGAGTTAATAATGATTTTTTCATAAGCACCATCTTGAGATGTTCTTATTGAAAGTCAAGAAAAAGAGAGATAATTATATTATTACATTACTTCATAGAATTCAATATGAATGCTAATTTTTTTTTCAATAAGTTATGCTGATTTATTGTATGTATATATATACTAGATAGGATAAAAGTATTTTATTATATTTAAAGAAAGTTTTTTTAGTAAAATTAAGCATTTATTTAGATTCAAAGTTTAAACTTTTATGCATAACTCATATTTCTAATGGAGTTATTAAACATTAAATCGAAATTATAAACTTTTTCAGTTAATTTCAAATTAAATATGTTTTATATTTTTAAAGATGACTAAAAAATTTAAAAAAAAAAACAACAATACGTCGTGAATGTTTAATTAGAAATAACATTAGTAACTCAATCTATTTTAGGTTGGTATAATGCCACAAAAAATGTCAATGACGAATATTGTTAATAGTGATTTGTGAAACTGAAAATGAAATTTATGATTACAAAAGAATCTTGTTTAAAACATTAATGATCAATGTTTTAATTAAAGAGAAATAATTAAATGAAATTATCTTACCGTCTTTGTTGAGTTTCTAAAGATTCACAGTCTTCAACACCAGCTAATAAACAGCCTCGACAACGTAAATTAGACAGCATAACTTGTCCAAATTTATCTCTCATATTCACTTGCTCATAGTTTACAAAAATACTATTTGAAAATTTTTGAGCGAGCCATTTAACAAGAACAGACGCCGCATTATTATCAATGTAAACGAGGACACACTCAGCCAAAAATAACGTAGGAATATTGAAGTCAACTTCAGCTTGAGTTAATTTATTTGATAGTTCTGATATGTGTCTTAAATCCGTTCCAATTAAATGGTAATTAGCTGCGTGAAGATCAGTAGTTGAAAATCTAATTTCTCCATCTGGAATTCAAATCAAGATTATGATAAAAGGAGCCAACAATCTTCCTTAATTAACTACAATTTAAAGTAATTAAACACATGACGTACCTTCTGTATTAAGGCTGTCTATCATTTGTTTGTGCTTTTTTATATGGTAACATTTTTTTGCTGTTACACTAGGAAAATCCAACTCTATAAAATTTTGTGGGCACATTCCAGCATCCTTTAGCCGCCAATAAAGTGTATCAAATCCTGCACCCAAGTTTATGATTTGACCTTTTCCACCAGATATCTAAATAAATCAAAATTAAAATATCAAATGTTTTTTTTATTATTCATTTTTATCAGTTAATGAAATGAGAATAAAACTAATACATATTTTTATTGGAATATTGATGAATAAAAAAGGATAAAAAATGAAAGAGAGAAAAAGTAAAAATACAATACGAGAAGTTGAACTAAATCTACTTTTTATCACGTATTTCATAAGAACATTTTTATTTAAAAATTTTAATATCAAGTAAAAAAGAATTGCAACATCAAATAAATATCATGAAAGAGCTGAGGGTGAACTTAAAGAATACTTCATTCAAAAGAAAAAATTTAAAATTTAGTGAATATATTAACTGAGTATAAAACAAAAAAATTGATTACTGCAGTTAATAATTTATTAACAGGTGTGAAATACTATGAGGAAGTTGAAACATTATTACTCCTAATAGAAGATATCTGGACATTGATTTTGCATTGACCTATATCTTGTATTCGTAATAAAAGCCACGATCCAGATGGAAAATTAGGCCAGGGCCTCGTTAAGGTCAAGGTTTCCATCTCTATTTGATCACATCCCTCTTTCACCTAACTCCTCGACCCCTCTAACGCTACTTCATCAGCTGTCTGTTTTCGGCGGACTAACTTAGAGGTTAGAATTCATCTTTTCGCGAACACTCTCATCTCAATAAAACGTTAATTATTTAAAATAAATACTTACTTTGAGGAATTTATTTATAAAATTTTCAATGCCTTTAACTCTTGCGTAATATCCACGATTTATTTCCGGAGGTTTTCGGGCTGTTTGTCTGACAAAAAAGTTTATGTAAGGATCACTCCAGTATCCAAGTTGAACCGCGTGTCTTTTACATTCACTTGCGTCATCATTTGTTGCTTGAGTAGCTTCATCATCTGCCATGTCTTTAATCATTTCACTGTTTGATTGAGACTTTTATTTATATTAATTTAATCATTTTTTCATCACCACTACGTTAAGATATGTGAGCTCTAGCGCTTGCTACTGCTCAGCTGTTGTCAGTTACTGCGACTCACTGGAGTAGCCATACTGGTGGCTCTTCACTCTTCAGGGTCGTACCCACGAGACATCACGTGCCCTTGGCTCTTTGCAATTGCGCCATGAATTCTATTTTGTTCTTATTTGATTTTTTTTTGTGCATATTATTTAAATAACAACTTTAGATGTTTTTTTTTTGGTGAATACGAATATTGGTAGAAATGTTTTAATTAATCATATTGATTATATTGATATTCTGTGCTTTTTTTACAACAATAGAATTTAGAATGTGTTGGACTAAATTTAAATTACGAATTGGCAGATTAATTGTTGAAATAATATATAAACAAGTTGATTTTTTTTGTTTAAATAAAATTATTCAGATGAAAAAAGGTAACAATATTTTTAGGTTAAAAAAATATAATATTGTTTTTACTTCGAAAAATTTGCTTTTAATTTATGATTTTTTTTAATAATCTCAGAAATATGTATTTATTGATGAATCCAAGTCATGACATTTTTTTTTTGTTTTTGTTAATAGTTACACACTTTAGCGGCAATGAAATATATTTAAATTTGTACAACGACGCAAATGGTAATTAGACTAATGAAAACAAAATATTTAATTTGAAAACAAACGTGATGATTAAAGGTAAGAATAAAAAATTATATTTTTCTAACATGTAATGCTCTTTTTATTCTAATTATATATTTTCAACCTTATAAAATTTTTATCGTTATAAATATAAACATAAATAAAACTTGTTGATTTTAATCTCTTCTTACGTGATACAATTTGAACAAATATTAAAAATGTATACGATAATTTAATTTGTTTATAATTCACAATAGCAAATAGTAATTTAATTTAACATGATTAATTTCGTATTGTTTTTAAAAATACTAAAATATATGATTGATGGACAACAATGAGATTATAATTATTATTGATCAACATGAGTCATAAACAAATTGTATAAATTAAAAGAGCTTTGTGAAAGTTCTTTATATAAATCAATAAAACATCAGACAGTGCATGAATAAAAGTAAAATTAAGTTCTGTTATGCTTTTATAAATTGAAATATTAAAATTAATGATATAACTAGTGATCTTAAGAGTCTAGAAAACACTTTTTATTAGTTCAGTCTGGATTTAGAATAAAAATTAGTTATATTTATAAAGAAAATACAAAAACAAAACAGCGACTAGGCAAAAGCTCTCCAAAAAATCTTACCGACACTGCAGATCTTAACATACTAAATGTTTACCATTTCTCAAATAATTTCTTTAATGCTTAAATATTGCACAGAATATTTAAAATATTCATAAATAGTTTTCATGATTGCCGTGAAAAAAGTGAACGTAATAAAATGATGATACAAATTAATTTAAGTATTAAACCCTTTGAATACATAAAGATTTGCAATGTAGGATTGGTATTTTTGTTATTATTTATATCATATGAAATGCAAAAACAATGATAACATGAAAAAAATTGAAGTAAGATATCGAAAATTTATTAGATTCTTTTCATCTTTCAATAAAATTTCTCTAAAAATTTTATAATACATAGTATAATTTAGAAATAAGTAAAAAAATATTTAAATTAATAATTCTTAATTACGTTAAATCTTACTTCAATTTATTTAAACACTTGAATAACATCAATAATGTAGAGTCAATTATGACTCTGATTCAGATTTCTTTGACGTTTTGGTAGTAGTGGATTTAACTTTTCTCTTCGGTGGTACTGGCGTGTCTGAAGTAGTTGGTGGTGGAGTATCAGGAACAGATGCATCAGCTTCCAAGGTTTGACTTGGTAGTTTAGTTGTTTTTTTCACAGTTTTAACAACTTTTTTTGGTTTCTCTCCAGTAACACTACTTTCAGCCTCTTCTTCTCCATCTTTAGGCTTCTTCATCACTTTTTTAACAACTTTTTTGGCACCTTTTTTACCTTCTTCTCCTTCACTTTTCTCTGGCTTATCTTCTGATCCTTTTTTAGTCACCTTCTTAGTCACTTTCTTCACCGGTTTCGGTTCTTCTGTCAAACTTGCTCCAGCTTCTATTGGAGGACTAGTAGGTGGCGTTGCTTCAGTTACAATTGGGGTTCCCGGGATTTTAAGTTCTTTACTTCGTGTTGGTTTTGCAGGGTCTTGTGGTTTTCGTGGACATGCAGGCTCAGTTTTTTCTGAAGCAGTAGGCACATTTGGTTTCGTTTCTTCAGCTGGTTGTTCTGTTACTTTTATAGCTGAATCGTCAGGTTTTGATGCTTCTGAAGTTGAAGACTCATCTGATTTTATTTCTTTCAATTGAACTTTAGGTGATTCTTTATTCGTTAATTTATTTGATTCTTGAAGCACTGGTTCAGGTACTTTTGTTGGTCCAATATCTGTTGTACTTGCCACACTTGATTGTTTTCGACAAACTTTAGGAACATCAGGTACATCATCAACTTTTGTTTCTTTTTTAGTCTCTTGTCTAGTGGTCGGAGTATCTTGGAGTGATGGTGCTGATCTGGACTCACTTACAGGCGATGTTGATGTAACAATTGATTCTGATGGAACTTGTGCACGTAAAGGTTCTTTTTTCATAGCAAAATTAGGATCAATATCTAAGGCTGATCCATTAGGTTGTGGTGGTGGAACTGCAATTGATTGAGATAACATAGCTAGTGGTTCAAGAGGAGTTTGAACAACAGCAGAAATAGTTTCTTGAACTGATGCTGAAGTCGAAGAAATAGCTTCTTCTCTTACTGGTTTCACATCTTCTGATACAGATTCTTTAATATCTGCCTCTAAAACTGATTCTGCTACTTGAATAGGAACTGGACTTTCAATAGTTGATTCTTCAACAGGAGTTTTTGGTTTAGACATCGGACAACTCAAAGGAGTAACACTTGCTGATTTATTTTCTTCTTCTTTTGATTTTTCTCTAATTTCCGCGGATTCTTTAACTTCACTCGTCATTTTCTCTCCAAATTCTTTGATACACAATTGCGGAGGAGGAGATTTAAGAGCTAGAATAGGTTCGGTTTTTCTTTCACACGTTTCTGGAGATAATGGAGAAGTTGGAGTGGAAGAAAATGCAGCTTCTTGAATTTTTCTTTCTGGAAATTGCTTCAATTCTCCACTTGGTATTGCGCTGCTTACAGAAACTACGTCACTAATGTTTTTATCGGTTTGTTTTGAATGAGAATCCGTTATGGCATCTTGTAGTTTGGCTTCTATTGCTGGTGAATAGTAGAATACATAGGAATCGTTAATATGAATCATTATGGTGAATGTAATAATAAATAAATAATGATATGAATTGTGCGAAAGACGATATTTTTTATAAACTATAAAAATAATTATTTTAACAATATTTATGATTTCCTTTTAATGATAATTTATGAATGATCTTCATTATAAAAAATATTTGATGAATTTTATGCGATTATTTTTAAAAAGCAGTTAAAACTAAAATTATTGCTGTGATGAAATGATAATAACACAATTTTCCACAAGACAATATTTTTAGAAATATTATTTCAATTAACAATTTAAAAAACAATGAAGCTATGGTAGTTCAATATAGAATATAATTGATTCATGTTTGCTGAGTATTGAACAATCCCAGGTAAAAATTGCCAAAGTTTAACAATCAAGTCAAGCTCAGAAAAAACTTGCTGATCTCCAAAAAAGCATTTTTGTTCTTCATGTTAGTTTTATCTGCTGTAATATTTAAACAACAAATCATTCCTTATATTATCAATAACCAGACTAATTGGCATTGAAAAAAAATGCTGGCCCAATTTGTTTACAATCGTTTTTTTCTTTTACTTGGCCATGATTTTTAATGAATGAGATCATTGTTACATGAATGAATGAGTAAAATAGCAATCAGTTAGTGTGAAGCGTTCAAAATATTTACCCCAATAAAGCAAAACAACAAGACAAGATGTAGTTATACTATGGCGCCAACTGTTAGTTTCTCTCCTTTGTTCCTGCTCCAAACACTTAAATATAAGTAATTATTAAAAATATTGGTTTTCAATCAATCAAATATCATGAAACTTTTCAACGAATTTAAAAAAAAAAATTCGAAGGAAGTTTTAAATAATATTTTAATTAAAAAACTAACCAAATGAGATTTAAAAAAAAACTTTTCAATTCAAACAAAAATCATTTTTAAAGCTGATGTAGTTAATTCATTATAGCAAGCATTCCAATGAGGCAGAAAATGTTTTCCACAATAATAATTGAAACACTTAGTATTTTTTTATTTTTTATTTTTATTCAATAACTTTTATTATGTTATATCTTAATATATTTGTACCTTCAATCGCACTATTTGTATCGATTACAAAATATTTCGTGTAAATTTTCAAAAAAAGCTTCGATAAATATTCAATATAAAATATAACTTTTTTTTTCATTTATAGTAAGATAAATAATTTGTTTAACAGAGAATAATCACATACCTGATTTATCTTCAGTTGTCGTATCACTTGAATCAGGTACAGCCTTTAAAGGTACCTTTGGAACATCTGATGATGGTACCTTTTCTTCTTCTGATTCAGGCAATGCCTTTTCCTTGAGAACAAATTTATTTTAATGCTATTAATTAAAATCAACAACAATTATTTTCATCTATCTTACTTTTAATTGAGGTTTCTCTTCAGGAGTAGTTGACAACGTGGTACAGATTTTCTTCCAAATATTATCGAAGCTATCTCGACCCATGTAATCGATCTGTCCTTGTTCCCAACTTTGCTTCCTAACATGATCCTCGTAGATCATTTGCTCTGGTGATCTTGGCTCTCCAAGAATAAGTTTGGATAATGCACCAGCAATTCCAGCCTATTGAAGCAAAAGAAATCATTTATTACTAGCCCATCTTTAATCATTGAAATTCAAATTTATATTCTTCACCATTTTAGTGAATATTAATAACATCATTATTACCAGCAAAGAATTACTTCTTTTTTTGAAGCTAAAAATTATTTATTAATACTAAAGCAATATAAAAAACAAATAATTCAATGCATTTACACAATCAATACTTACAGAATCAATCTCGTCCATACTATTCATTTGTGATTGACTTGCAATACTTTGGAGGTCTGTGCAGGAGTTGGGATGGGAATCACTGTCTAGTACTAATTCATTACATTCTATCACCTTTTCAACATGGTTTAGACTTTCTGGGTTTTGTGTTATCACTTCTGTTAAATTATTCAACTTTAACTGTTCTCGTTCTAGGGGTTCTATTTGTAACATGTTACAATTATTATCATTTTGATTGGAATAATTTTGTTCGTTCCTAAAATTTACATAATTTGACTGATGTATTGGTGATTTATGATCATAATAAGCTTCAATATTATTTGTATTTTCATTATTACAATCGTTATCCTGCAATTGTCTATTTCCTACGTTTAAGAAAAAATTTTCAGACACATGGTCAGTAAATGTTTTATTGATCTGTTCACTTTTCTTATCATCAAAGTTATCTTCATGATTAAAATTGAAATGATTATTATTGTTAGTAATTAAATTACTGATCTTTCCATGAAAGTTCTCATTTTTGAAGTCATTGATGATATTATTTAGCGAATTATCATTTTCTATCAAACAATATTGTATTTGATAATTTTGAGGTGGAAAGGGACAATTGTTATCATCATGATTATGACTATTGATATTATCATGATTTATTTCATTTGGGTGATTGTTTTCATTATGATTCGAATGCTCTACATAATTTTCCCAAGGATCTTTAAATTCTGAAAAATTTGGAAGAACATCAACTTCGTCAAATGTTTCGTCTGTCGATGTATGACATACATGATTCGATGTATGAGGAAACGATGGATTTGAAGATTCAGGAGGGAAAAAATTGTTCTCACATGGTGCCAAAATCCTGCTAACCTATGAGGAGCATCATCATGCCAAAACAGAAAAAAAAATGCATACTATATTTTGTTAGTAATTTTAGATGACACAGGTTTACAGTATTCTAATGTTTGCAAAAAAAAATACAAGAAAGCATTGCAGTTTTTGTTAAGAAAAAAAAAGCTGAGACATTATGTGTAATTTTTTACAAACGTTACTTTTGTAAACCTATGTAATTAATTGTTTTAGTTCACTACTTAATAATTAATTAATAATTCTTTCAAGTTTGAATTTAGAAATACAAAATTATAATATTATTTATTAGCTAATTTTGTAGAAGTAAAAATAAAAAATGAATAATTTAGATAAAATGCTTCTATAAAAATCTATTTAGTGGTATAAACATATTTTTAAAACATAATGTTTTTGCCAATTTAACATTTACTGGAATCTAAATCATACTTGTGTTGAAATTTGATATTATTTGACACATTTACGTCGTGCTTTATCAACATTCAAATTGGCTTGGTGTGAAATAATTTAATAAAAAGCTTAAAATCGTTTAATGAAAGAAATAAATTAATTCTTACCTCGCGATATTTCGTATCCACGTTGCTTAGCTTCCAGAACCAGTAAAAGGTAAGCATATTACAATAATCAGGCAAAAATCCAAATAAATATAACATATATTATTCAATAAATTTTTATGTTTAAAATTCAACGATTAATTCAAAAAAATTTTTAATATCAAATCTCACACTAAAAACAATATTACAATCACGTTGTGGTCAATAAATACGTACCATAGCTGACGATAATTGGGGATGTACGTTTTCACAAAAGATATCCCACCAATGTTGAAGGAGTGATTGAAGATGTCCTAGTTCAGATGTTGGGTGAACTTGACCTGATTGTGTGTCGAAGTATTGAAGCCATGGCTTTGAGTTACCAATGAAGTGGATGATCTTTACATCTCCTCCAAATCTATTACATTAGCATTAAATATGATGTATTATTTATTTGCTACCTTGATGAAAAAATTTCCCATTATTTTTTAAAAAATTCATTAGTTTGGTAATATTTTTTGTGAGGTAAGTTTATCATGAATTACTGTCTCAATAATTTAAAAAAAAAACTTTTTTTGATGTAATACTTACTGTTTGTAGGCTGGTAAATAAGAATAACTAGCAGTGGAACACATATTATAAATAAAAGGCAAATGTTTCGAGATATCTTTATGAGCCCAATCACTGAAGAATAGATTCAAGAGACCTTGATCACCTCCATCAAAAGATCCCCTTGCTGCAGCGAAAGATGTTAATGACGCAAATGTTTGCTGTGATGGTTTGAAGACAAAAACTCCGGAGTTAAAGCAATCCGGCCAGCCAACATCTGGTGCTGCTGAAAGCTCTTCACGATCGAAAAGCTCATCACAGTTACGAATTACCTATCAATGATAAAAACAGGTTTAGATTTATTTCATCAAAATCAATCTTATTTTTATGATTATAAATTATCTTACGAGAGTATCAGCATCCACGAAAACACATTTTTCATATTCTGTCAATCTCCAACAATGTAATTTAGTAAATGTAATTCCTAATTCTGGTCTAGCAAGCAGAGCTAGATTAGTTTCATCTTGCGAGTCGAGAACATTGACTTCTTTGACTAAATTGAACACTGATGATAATTTTTCCCTAGAAACATTTAAAAAGAATATTAAATTATTAATTATAATTAATAGCTTAGTGTACAGACAAAATATTAAAGTAAAAATTATTACGGTGTATTGTTAACACATTTAGCAAATTAGAGTTACAACAGACCGTAATAAAAATAATTAAACTTTCAAACTTCTTTTCATGTGGTGGTAAACATTTAAATGCCTTGGGTCTGAGGCACCCTAGTGTGCCAGGTATATGATGCTGACGAAGTGTATCATGAGGGTGAAAGGTTTATGAAAGAGAAGCTTTACAAACTTAAATATACATCTATATAATCGATTATCGTCAGTCTCATTCATCAAGACCATCAGCTTACTAAATGATTACCATCATCAACAAACAATCGTAAAAGTCATTGTATACAAATGCAAACTTCCAAGTTCAAAGCCATCCAAATTTAAAGCTGGCAGCAGCCTATAGGTAAATCTTGGCAAGAACTGTAATCCTAATTGACATCATGATTGGCTTTCAACTTGAACTTTAAGATTACCACCAAGTTATACAACCATAAATCAATCAACAAAACTATTTATTAATTACTGTTATTACTCTAGATAGAAAATTGATGATTTGACATTAGATTTCTTACCTCATGGGTGTAGTTACACCTGGAGTAATAAGTACTGCAATATCATGTTTGGTTTCAACACGTTTCAAAGAATGAGCCAGTACAAGAGCTCCAAGACAATATGAATCATTAGTAGCTAAAGTTACCCATGCGAAACCTGAAATGAAAATAAAAGACAAAATAATTAATAAAATTGATAATAATTATTTTTACTGATTTCTTTTCTTTAGCCTATATTACTGTATCAATTTATTAATTATCATTATTATGTGATTGATAAAAGTCTGAAAAATTTTTCACATTTATCACATCAGTTACATAATACTTATCGAATAAAAAAGTCAGAGTTTAATGGCTCTTTAATGAAACATATGATCACTAACTTATTTTTTTTCTCAGCAGCTTATTTATGTAACATGAATTTTTTCAAACGTATTTTAAGTTGTCTCGTTTTATCCAATTTGAAATTGACACGAAACATTAAATAACGGAATGATATGAATGCAGGGAGGTGCCAGAAAAAAAAAATATTAAACAGATAAATGGCAAAATGCCAAGCCTTAATATATTTAGATGTCGTAGCAACAAATGTGTGGCTTCTAAATAATGAAACATTCTTAAAATGCTGGAAATTATTTAGATAATGTGATAATTAAAAAAAATCCATTAGTTTTCTTGAAGAGCTCTTGGTAAACGGAGAAGCTAACTCATTCCTGGTTCAAGACTAGAGCTGTTTAGTCATCTTTGGTCTGTTCCTCGTGTTAGGTTGGGCCAGTTTAGCTAGCCTTGGTCCAATGTTGGACCAGGAATAGACCGGTTGTACTTTCAATTTGATAGTAAATGATATATCGCGTATAAAAATACATTGTGTTCTGGTTAGCTGGTCCCATATTTTTGGAGTAATCTGTGATTATGACAGATTAGTGGATGTCTAATGTTGTATCATCAAAACATAATCTTATATATTGATCGAAATATTTTTGTACGCAGTTGATATTCGTGCGTCATCACAACTGAATGTTTTAAATACAGTTGTTTGGAAGAGAAATATATTTCATAGATGAAATTTTGTTGGCACGATGTAAATGTTGCATCTGTATCATTTTACAAGCACGTGTAAATTATGAATTTCTTCATTTTACAATGATGCAACTTCTTCAACATCATTGAGACAAACTTTGAAGAATAAATTTTCGTGATAATATTTTGAATTCTCTAACTCAAATGTTGAATTAAGATTTGTTGGAGAAATGAATGATATTTTTATTATTTCTGGTGATAAAAATGATGTTGATTTAAACTATTCTGTAGAATGCTTGGTGGTATTTTTAGATAGTAATTATTCTTTTATCTCGTCCTGACATTTTAATTACTATCCAATGGATATCAAGTTGATGACCTTATAAAATATCACATTTAAGACGTGCTTTAATTCATAAGTAAAAATCGATTTTTACTATGTTTTCATTAATTCAAGATGGTTTTATGAAAGCCAAGATAATTTTTAATGAAGTTTTTATTGGATGAAATTATTTCTGACATCTTTAACTTGAATTCGATAGCAGATAAAATTTGTTTTGTAGTCCATTTAGATTTAGTTTAGGAGTATTGATAACGATCATTCAAGACGATAATGAGTAATAAGAATTTCTGATTATCACCTCCACTTGTTAATGAATATCAATTGCAAAGGTATTCTGTTTAGTTAGTTTTTATGTCATACTAATCATTACCAAGCACAGCAAAAACTTTAGTGGAGTAGAATCAGTTGATAGTCAATTTATGTTTTGCCTATGATTCTCTGCCTTGTGATGAAGAAAAGTAAATATTTACCACCAAGAAACATAGTTTCATGAGAAATAAACTGAGGGTTATTTTTTTTGGTTTTTTTGGCAAATCTCTCTCAGTGTTTCTCAATAATAGTATACAAAATTTTATTTGTATCTTATATTCAAATTAAAAACGTCACTTTATTGACATTTAACAATTTACTGTGTAGCTAGGAAATTTCATTGGTCTCTTTAAAAAAATTTTATATTTAGGATTGTTGACAATGCAATTTAAGATTCTTCAATTCAGTGCTGAGCCATATGTGCTATCTAGTCTAGGTATATAATATATAGACAATTATTCTGCCAAAAAGATGTATTGAATTCTTGAAAATTGATTATAATCCTATTTATGAATTTACATGTACATATGAAGTTCAATGTAAAGAATTCTTTCATAAAGTTTCATACAATCTCTCTGAGTAGCAATGAGATATGGTTACACCTAGGCTTGATCAGGTTCTCTCCTTTGATATACCATATTATTATTTAAACATTCAATTCACAACTATTTTATTGTCTTCTCTTCCAGGCTTGAATGAACTTCCTTATCAATTTAACAAGATGTAGGAATTGTTCTTGAAAAATTTGTCAATTTACAAAAATAGTGTATGATACTAGAATAGCCAAAAAATACTATTAGTTTAGTAATAACAAAAATATGATTGTTTTGCCTACTCCATTCATTCTATTGACACTAAAAATCCAGATTCACATGCAATCGTGTTTCATTGAAGAACAATACACCTAGTTGGGCTGTAGTAATAGTAAGGATAGTGGATATTAAGTTTCATACAGTTTACAAGTATAAAAAAGTAACATCTAAAACTGGCTATTCTGTACTTCAGTCTGTAGAGACCTTGATAAATTGAGATTACCGAGGTCAAATTGATTATAATTAGGATCCATAGTTGCGTATACAAACTAAATATTAATGATTAAATTTATTAATGATTGTCAATTAATTTCATCGTTGTGAATCAAAATTTTTTTTAGAGAATTAAATGAAATAATAATAATTTTACGATATGAATAGCAGAGGAAACTTGAGATAGTAACGTCGCGACACTCCGGCGTCTCCTTTAAAGGTTTATATTTACACTCGAGTCGGATCAACTCTTTCTTTTCTGCTCACTATTCTAGGATCTCATAATAGCACGGATTTGCAAGGAATTCATGCACTTTTGTTCACAAATCAACCACCAAAGGTTATTTTTTTATTTCTGTTAATTTTTTAGTACCAGTTCCTAGAAGACGATGCATGATGTAGGGTTATTGAACTTTTAGTATTTGACATAGGCATAACGAACTTCGGATTTTAATAATCCGGATTAAAATAATTCGTACACCATTGTATTATTTATTTGGAGGCTTGATTAAAAAATATGCCTCATTAAGTAGGGCTAAATATTTTTCATCTATTGAAAAAAAAAAGTGGTAGCCATGAGGAAAAAATTAATTTGATTGGTCAATCAAATAATACTAATTTATATCTAGGAGGGTTAATATTGTAAGAGATTGCTCTGTTGAGCGGGAAATGAGATAAAGAAGGAATAAATTTGAGAATCAATGGTTATAATAGAGATCTATTATTGTAACGATTCATAAAAATGTCATTATTCATTTAAATGAATCACAAAAAAAAAATTAGAAACAAAAGTAAGTTAAAGAATATTTAAAGTTTAAGAATGTCATGATTATTTTACGGATAAACTCAAAATTTTGTAAGGCAAAGCATGTTAAAAGTGACAAAGATTGAAGGTCATTTATTTCAGACCGGTTGCTGGCATGTTATATACTGTTGAGTTTATCAATAAAATTCATAGAGAAAAGTTTTATTAAATTTAATAATAATTATGTAAGTAATGAATTAATTGAAGATAATTTCAAGACTTACCACTCATTGTGGACGGTTATTATATCAATAGCTAGTTATTTTGAACGAATGATACACGACTCACTAATTAGCTTGGACGGGTTATGATAAACGTGTGTCTTCTACAGTCGTTGCTACAAGAGTGGCAACTGGGCGAAATCATTGTCCTGTACTTCATTTTTGGGAAAAGACAAAAATAGAAGTTGAATTTATCGGCAGTTTTTCAAAACTTCGTGCCATCGAACTGTAAATATTATTTTCTCTATTACCGACCGCAGATATTTTTTAGTTACCAAAGGATCGGTAAAGAAGAAGCTTGACTATGATCGACTGTTAAAGCAATTGTTGACTTTATCATTGTTGAAGGAACAACAATTTTTTTTTTTTTAATAAAATAATCAGTTGGAAAACAAATTTGATTATTTGTGGTGTGACAAAATAAGAGTCAATTATTATAAAGAAAAAATTGACAACAGTACTAGAGGTGTGAATAATGATAAAGTTAAGTGCTTAAATATTAATCAGTGATTCCAATTTATAGAAGAGTTAGTTTTGGTTATCAGTTACTGATTTTCACTGATTTATTCCAAGAGAGCATCCATTCTGGATAAAAATATTTTTTTATGGTGTAGATGATAATAATAATCATAATAGGAACTGAAAAGTAAAATTATCAGTGAAAATAATAAGTATTCTTGATGTGGAGATTGATTTACCAAACTAACAATGAGAATAAAAAATTAAATTTCAATTGATTGGACCTACGATGCAAAATGTCGGTTATTAAGAGAAACCTATTATTAAATAATCCCTTGTTCTTTCGCATGTCTCTTCTTCGGTATGTTTCTTTTTCTTCGACCCATACTCACGATTGGAAAGTGTCTGAGAAAGAAAAAAAAATAACCAGTGAATCTGGCTTTGTTGATTCAAAAGCGATAATACTAGACTGTAAAACTTTTTTCTCGCCCTCATCGAATGTAGACGGTAGACAGCAGCAAAAAACTATCATGGAAATAGAGATAGCACATTCATATAATTACTGATCCGTATTTAATTTTATAATGAACTTTAGGCAGTATTTTATTGATGTAACCTGACAGTTTCAATCATCATCAATACGTTTAATGTGGATCCAAAGATTTTATAATACTGAGGTTAGTAAAATATTTGAAATAAAACTAACCTATCTTTTTTTCATACACTTAACAAATCAATTGATAAAACTATTTTTGAATAAATTAATTCTATTTTCACTGATTTATTTAAAAAAGAGAATATAAAAAAACTAATGCACGTGATTTAAAGAATTTTTTCTTTTTTTGCAGTACTCAATAAAAAGTTCACATGGGCTTTTCGATTTTTGCTTGGAATTCCAGATGGAAAGATATTATTTTCTTTTCTTCTTGCTTCTTACCAAGATTCACGAACGAATCGATAGGTTTCGGGAGTCTTAAACATTCGACTATGGAGAAACACCTTGGATTTAATTGCCACTGGAAGTTGATACAAAAAAAAGATAAAAATATAAAGAAAGTGGAAAACATATATCATTGTGTAATGTTGTGATACATTGAGTGATTTTATCTAGGGGTAAGTCGAAGAATTTTTTTTAATTAAAAAATACTTATAGATATTACATTAGATATATAAAATATTTTATTTATTTTTTAAAAGTTTAAAAATATATATTAATAAATTTAATAACTGAATATAAATTTTTCTCTCGGTATATCTCAAAGTTTTGCTTATAAATTGCATTTTATTTGTCAGACATTAATTTTTCATAATTTTATAATTTAATAGTGTAGTTACATTTTTTATTACACTTCTTTTATCGTATATTAATGTATTAATTTAAATGTACTTAGTAAAACAATTTTGAATAAATTCTCATTACTTTTTTCTTTGATACTGAATCAGTTAAGAAGACTAAATGTAAGTGAAGAAAAAAAAAGCGACGGAAGCAATCAGAATTATTATCAAATTCTCGTGCCGTGAAAAACATTAATGCATATACTTTTGCCCTTCCGATCTTCATTTAGATAAATGTGGGTTGCCATTGCTGCAATTAAAGACTTCCATTCGGTTCAACATTCAAGTGTTTTCCTATCTCTCTAATAGCTTGTTCTCGTCTTATATTTAATTTAAAATAATCTGTCATTTCATTCAAATTAAATGAAATTTTTGCCTATTGTGGATATTGTTGCAAATTTTGATATGTAAACTGAGAGAAAAATGGGATGTATCCATAAAATATATTGATTCTAAATGAAATAAATGATTATAAAAATATTTAAAAGATGATAAAAAATATATTCAACAATTGATTAAATAATGATCTTTATTTCAACATCATTTAACAGATTACATAGTAAAGTAAAATTATTTTCAAAGAGTGGATTCGAAACTAACGAATGTACACTTGAAAATGCGCTGTCAATCATTCAAATCAGATGATAATTACCTGAGATACAATTTTTTAAAGATACTGATTTCGATTGAATTTTTTATTTATTTTTAAAAAATTCACTCTGTTTTGTCATAATGTTTTAAAATTTTTTACCGTCCATCAAAGAGTGATAAAAAGCTTCTGTTGTAGTGTTTCAAAAACGAAAGACTATAAGCTTTAAAATTAGCGGTAAATGAATTAAGTTAACCGATTTATTACCGAAATTTGATTTTTGGAAGATTTAAATGAAATAGTGGTTTTTTTCGACATTAATCTTTTTGTGAGCACAATTCTTTTTACCGAAGTTTCCTTGTTTGTTATTTTTTTTTCTTAAATTTTAAATACCAATTCTTGAGTAATTATCAATTAATAATATTCTGTGTACGTTAAAAATTTTTTTTTTAAATTAATTAGATATTTATAAAAAATAAGATCCAAGGCAATGTAAATAATGAAAATAATAATAATATCGAATATTATAATGAATGTTTTTTCTTCAGAATATATCTGAATTGCACAATCGTTATTGCAACCTTTGATCTGTATTTGAAACTACTGTAGAAAACGCCCCATCGTGTTATTGCTATGAAAATGAGGCTGAGGGGTCGATGTCAATACCATGGATTTCCCATAACTTATTTGAACGTTAAACGAGAACTTGCGAGTGTCAAATAAATTCGTGGTTCCCTGCTCAATTGAGTTAGATCCGCGATACATATGTGTTTAACACTCTAGGGGGTGCAACAACAATATTACAATCCTCTGACTTTTCAGATCCCCCACTAAGCCATGGTGCAAAAATCACGTATGCTCTAGCGTATTTTTGTCCACGGGCTGTCTATTCATTTTGTGTGAAACTTACTAGTGTTTTTGTTTAATCGATCATTAAAAAAATATCCTTTTTTTTGTCAAATCATCTTCTGCTAACGTATGTTTACAAAATATATTTATTTATAATTATATAATAATTAATTATTAATGTCTCTTACCTTAACTTGATGACATTGATGATCAAAAATATAATATAATTATCAGAATAGATAATGCAATAAAAATTAAACTGAAGTAAGAATATTGTAGTGATTGTAATCCAAAGTCATACTGTTACTACATTGATTGAAAAATTTTAATGATCAATAATATTAAATATTGTAATAGTCATTACTTAAGATTGAATATCATTTAAAAGTGACATTTGACTGCAGCCAAAGTGTTATTATTACTTAATTAAATAAATATTTATAATTTTTAATTAACTTCATTACTATTTCGATAATTAAATTTTAATCAACTTGATAAATGACTTTCAACACTTCCTCAAGGTATTTAAAAAATAATTTTTTCGATAAATGAATAGAAATTTTTCATCGGAATGAAGATCCAACATCAAACACATTGAGGTTGACCGCTGCATATAATGATGTTTATTAATACGTCAGCTTCTTCTTTCTAAAAGGTTAAAAACATTAAGTGCATTAATTTTTAATTTTTCATTAAAAAAGAAAAACACACCATGCAATACCTTATTTACATTTTTACCATTGACCTCATTTAATTAGTGTGGTAAATAGATAAATGAGATTATTATAAATAAGCTTCTGGGTAATTTGTCAGCTTTAAATTGAATTGATAATATTCTTTTGATACTGCAATTATTGATTTAAATGAAAAATTCATTAGAAAAAAGAAACAATTTTAACAAAAAATCTTTTTATCATTAAACCACAAAAGGATGATAAAGCTGAACACTCAATGTTCTAACATCATTTCACTTTACCGTCATTTTACAGCTAAACCGTCAGGGATAGGAATAAAAGTATAATGACCTTTTTTGTGTAAAATTGTTACCTCTATAAATTTTATTACAAACTTTTTTTTGTATCACACATAGTTTACGAGATAATTGTAAAAAACGGACTTTTATGTTAATTTTTTCTTCTTAGTTAATTTTTTTTCAATTTATTATAATAAAGAAAATAATTATATTTATTAAAAAAATATTTTTATACCTAAATTATGTTGAAGTATTTTAAAAAAAATATTTATCAACAAAACAACCTGATATCCACCGTACGGAAAATATTTAAAATAAAAGTCTGGATTTTATTCGATTATTTATAAATTTTTATTATTTTTAATTTTTTATTTAAACCAATTTAATGAACTTATTTGCTGAATTGTTATTGCATTTTTTTTACTGGTAATTTTTTTTGTAAAATACAAAAAAAAATTTCTAAAGTGTTCTAAACATCACCTAATCATAACATTTGAAGAAAAATTAATATCTAATAAAAGGAGGAAAAAAGAGGGAAAAAAAAAGAAAAACGAGTTTTTAAATGACTATAAATAAGCAGTGTAAATTGAGTTAAAGGTAAATGGCCAATTTGAATGTTAAAAAATGTCTGTTTCTCACGGCACTTCCTCTGTATCCCCATCACAAATCTTTTTAGTTCAACATGCGTCTGACCATCGAAAACGATTCTTTTTAACCAATGACGGTTTTATTTCTCGGCATTTGGTCGTCCTCGACCACGAAGATCATGAAGATACGCACAAGCCATAGTGTCTATAGACTAGTGACTAGATAGAGACTCGTAGAGGTTCGTTGTAGATTCACTTTGGACCTGTTTCTTTCTCATGTTAACAACTAAAACTCATAAAGACATTTAAGTGGTCTGTGAGAATGAAAAAAAAGATTCTTTGATGTTTGCCTCAAATCGTCAAGCTTTTAGGGTTGTTTAGGTTATATTTATACGCTTTTCTAAAAAATCTCACTACTAAAAATCCTCATAACTTTACCCGTTAAATGAAGTCATTTCACTTTTGTCGATAGCTTTATCTGTACGGAAAATATATTGTTGTAAGTCTTATCAGTAAATTCTATTCAACTGTACCATCATCTGGGCTTGAGAAAAAAAAAACTACTGTGGAAACTATTAATTCTGATAAATAAAGACTCTACCTACAACTAACTGTATCCTTTCGTTGAGAAAAAAAAATTCATTAGAATGACCAGATTTATTTTTTTTTATTTTTTTATTCGTGACATTTCTATTTAATTTTCTTAATTCAATTATTTCTATAGTTTCATTTTTTTTAAGTTAATCAATAATTTTATTATTATAATAATATTATTCATAAATAAATTAATAATATTATTCTTCTAAAATTGACATGGTAACATTTTTATAGATTCAATTCTGATAATTACTTGAATTAATTGATTAAAAATTTATATTTTTATTGTGCTCAATTATTTTTAAATATAATTATCTAAGTATTGGATTATTCTAATGTTCAATTTTTTTGTTAAGATCCATTACGTCTTACTTGAACTTATCACCATCTTGAACCAAATGTCCATTTTAATAAACAATTCCATCGCGAATATTCCTAATTTTTTTTATTAATTAAATTAACATTTTTTTATATATATCATAAATTTATTCCTCAGTATAATTTATTAGTTAGCTAATTTTTGGATAGCTTTAAAACTCCAATCTTTTTTTTTTATTCAAAAAACGCAGTCACTGTGGTTTAAATAGCAACATTATTATAGATAAGAATTATTTTTCAATATCAAATAATACTTTAGAAATTGGTAGCAATTTTGTGTCAATAAAAAAACAAGTGTGTTAATATTTGATAATGGAATAAATTAAAGATATATTTATTGAGTTTTTGAGAGTCTGATGATGGTAACAGTGAATATTAAATAAATTTATCAATATTAATGAATTATTATTGACTTAAAAATTATTAATTATTATCAAAACAAACCCAAGTTTAATATTATTATTATTCAATTGTTTTTTGGTAAATAAATATTGTTCAGAAGTAGCGTTAGAGATGCAGATTCTTACGTGTGATCATCTTTTTTAACAGTAGTGCATTCATTTGTCTTGACCTTAATTAATTTAGAAACTCCATCTGACAATAATTACAAAATTACCATAGAATTTAATAAATGCATCTCAAAATCGAAATTATAATTTTTAATGAATGTAATACAAACGATGAATATACTTATCAAGTTATAAACTAAACTGATTGATAATTCAAAAAGTTGATATGATAATGTTATTTAGAAAATAGTCCCTCTGTATCCTTCCGACAATTATTAAACCCAAATTTATTTAAA